AAAAATAGCTAAAGCTTGGTGAGCACTTGCTATATGCCAGGCACGGTTCCAAGTGCCTGCTTGGCATGTACCACTTCGTGAAATCTCACGAAGGAGGACCTGGCATCTCCCCATTTGAGGTGAGCGTAGACAAGCCTCAGCCCTGGAACTCAAGGTTACTCTCTGAACTGGAGGGCAGCCAGCCCTGAGAACTCAGGAAGTGGTTTTTCTGTTTTACTGAATTACCTAGAATTCTGCATTCTTCCCCTCCCACTCCGCCCAGCACAACCTTCCTTCCCAATTGCATAATGGGCTCTCAGATGTTTGGAGGGAGGGCAAGAATAAATCAGAATAAATGCATCTTTGCTATTAAAAGAAGTTTTAAACTGCTTCTGTGGTTGAGGCAGAAATCAGTCCTATGGCGGCTGGGACTTTGAGGGCAGGTGTCAAATCCAAGGTCAGCCAAGACACAGTGGTCCTCGCGCCTCGGGGTCAGGCCCCAAAGCACAGACAGCAGGAGGGAGTGAGAATCTGTAAGGATGAGTGCAGAGTGGGCGAGGTGACTAGGGCTGCAGCAGAGAACAGAGCTAAATGCTAGATCCTTGAAAGCACCAGCACAAGCACCTCTGCAGACGGTTCCTGGGGGCCCCCACAAGCCCCTCTGGGAGGCACTCATCTGCTGGAAATCTCCAACCTTCCCCAGCCTTGCAGCGCGTCACGGGGCAGAATGTGGAGCTGCCCTCCACTCAGCCCAGCGCATGGGCTGGAGTCCCTACTCCAGAGCCTTCTAAGCAGAGAAAGCTCCCTAGCACAGCCCTAAAATCCCTCCTCATCACAACTCGGCCAAGAATAGAGGGAAAATGGAGCCCATTATTCTCATTCTGAAGGGCTGGGAAATGGCTTTTGCTTTTCAACATGAAATGTGCCTATAAATAAACTGTGAATTTCAACCAGGGGTTGAAAATAGCTCCGGCAGTGAACAGAGCTTTGTTCAGAGTGGGCTCAAGGACAGCCTTCATTGCGAGAGCAAGAGTTGACTGCCAAAGTCAGAGCAGGGGTCCTGGGCAGGGGGTTTTCCAGGGCAGAGGGTTTTCCAGGGCAGAGGGGCTATCATGGGCTCACAGGACTGCCCTTGCCACGGTCTGTCCCTCTGGCTTTAAACTGCCACACTCCAACAGGCCATGGTCAGGAATTTAAGACCTAGCACCTGGCCCGAAGGGCTTCCTAAAATCCTCAAATGCCCAGGTGTGACTCATGTGGCTTTAGGGCCCAAGGCCCAGTGTGTAGACAGAGCTGGAGGGGGAGGGATCATCACATTTGAGGGCTCTGGAGCATGGCAGTGCTGCTCATGGGCTCTTTGAGAAGCCAAGCCACCAGGGCCAGCCACCAAACCACTCACCAGGTACTATCTCAGAGCCAGGAAAGCAGGCAGGCAGGAGGAGTAGGAACACACTCCAATTGTAAGTGAAGAAAACCAAGTTGCTAAAGGTCTTTTTTTTTGTTGTTTACCAGCACCTCTGGAAGATTCCAAAGTTTGACAAGCCAAACATTTCTACAAAATGCGCTTCTGTTACAATGGACTACTACTCAGCCATAAAAAAAGACAAAATTGGCCCATTCACAGCAACGTGGATGGACCTCGAGGGTATTATGTTAAGCGAAATAAGCCAGTCAGAGAAAGACGAACTCTATATGACTCCACTCTTAGGTGGAAGTTAGTATATTGATAAGGAGATCTGATCGGTGGTTACCAGGGAAAAGGGGGCTGGGGGGAGGGCACAAAGGGGGAAGTGGTGTACCCACAACATGACTAACAAAAATGTACAACTGAAATCTCACAAGGTTGTAATCTATCATAACATTAATTAAAAAAAAAAAATGCGCTTGTGTTAGATACTCAGGCTGAGAGACCTGGGCCACAGCTGCTGTGGGGAGCCCGTCCTTAGCGTCACCCCCAAGCTCCTCTGCCCCTAATACAGCCCTGCCTACTTGCTCACACTCCTCCCGCTGCTACATCAGCCTCCTTTCTGGGCTCACTCTTGAGGCAGGAGTGACTGTAGTGCTTCTCAACTGGGGGCAATTCTGCCCCCCAGGAGACATTTGGCAATGCCTGAAGACATTTTTGGTTGTCACCTCTAGGGCTTGGGGGATGCTACTGGCAGCCAGGGAGTAGAGGCCGGGGATGCTCCGTAACATCCTACAATGCAGAGGACCGCCCCATAACAAGGATTTATCTCAGTTCCAAAGGATCAACAGTACTAAGGTTGAGAACCCCTGGGTTACTGGAAGGATGGTATAGAGACAAGAACTGGCAGGGCAGGGGCTCATCGGACTCACCAGCTTCTGGCACATGGCTGCAGAGCTCCCGGGCTCCCTGAGGAGCTGACATACCCTGGCCAGCCACAGAATCAGTCACCAGGTACTATCTCAGCACCAGGGAAGCCCTTGGGCAGGGAGGGCGAGACCACATTCACCAGCTTCCCTTCCCACCTCAGGGGAAAATCTAACCACTGAGCAGTGTTATACCAACTCACCTCAGTTTAGGAAGATGAAAAAATTCTGGGTATGATGGTGGTGATAGCTGCACAATGATGTGAATATACTTTATGCCACTCAACTGTACACTTAAAAATGGGTAAAATGGTAAATTTTATGTTATGTATATAAAATAAAACTAACAAAAAATACCACTAGCTTTCCTCGTGGCCTGGGAGTCCTGAAATGAGAGACGCTCCTAGAAGCGTACACCACATGGAGGGCATGTCGGGTGGGTGTGTGTCTGGAAGAGGGCCTATACACCAACTCAGACTCTCAAAGGGGCTTGTGACAGATAAGGAAAAAGCCCTAAACAAAGACTGATTTTAGGATTAGCAAGTCAAGTCACTTCACGAATTAGCAGAGCTCACCTACATCACACGAGGTCCTCAGAGCCTGCTTCTGGGGGTATTCAGGGCCCATTGTGGAAACGGAGGCTTAGGAAGAGTGGGTGCTTCGCCTGGGACCACACAGCCAGGGTTCAGACCCCAGAGCCCACACCTCTCCCCTATTTGAGCCCCACGTGGTGATGCCCACTGGGCAGAGCTGTGACAACAGCTCCACCGTGGGCCTGAAGGTAATATGAGAACAAAGGGTTTTCCTGAGCACTGTTGAACTGTTCACCCACCTATACCCTATCCTGCCATGTCCTGCTGGCTTCCCTACCCACAAGCCCTCATGCTAGATTATGAGGCCCCAAGCTCAGAAAGCAGGGTGTCCCACACCCCATATCTGAGCAGGACTGAAGAGACAAGAGGTAGCCTGTCCAAGTTAATTTCCTAATAACCACAAGGAGCATGGGATTCTCCCCTTGCTGATGATTAGTAACCATTCCCAAGAGACAGGTAGCAGCGCCCTCCCCTGGGTTGGGGAAGAGCTGCCAGGCAGCCCTCTGCAGTTTCCACTTGCAGCTTCTAGCTTGGTCGGCCTAGCTCAGAGGGGCCAGCACGGTGGGCCCGGGGCAGGTGTCTCATCTGTGAATGTGAGCAGTGACTTTACCCACTCATTTGATGAGGGAAGGAATAAACAGGGCAGCACATCCAAAGACCTTGGCTGGGCCTGGCTCACCATCAATGCCCAACAGACGGGGAGCTGTAGGGGAGAGGGCATGGACCCCAGAGGATCCCAACCTTGCAGTTTGGAAAATGCTTTTTTTTTTTTTTTGGAGGAAGATTAGCCCTGAGCTAACATCTGATGCCAATCCTCCTCTTTTTGCTGAGGAAGACTGGCCCTGAGCTAACATCTGTGCCCATCTTCCTCTACTTTATATGTGGGACGCCTGCCACAGCATGGTTTGACAAGTTGTGCGTAGGTCTGCACCCAGGATCTGAACTGGCGAACCCTGGGCTGCTGAAGCGGAACATGCAAACTTAACCGCTGCGCCACCGGGCCAGCCCCTGGAAAATGCCCTTCTAGGTGGAAGATAAAATGGGAGCAAGCAGACCACCGTGCAACCCAGTCATGCCCCAACAAACCCAAAAGCTGAGAACCAGCCACTCATTAGCAAATGCGGAGGGAGAAAACCTCTCAGCCAAGAGCAACTCTTAGAAGAAAAGCTTTAAATCTCGACCTCACTCATTCCTAGAGGTAGCCCCAACACACAGGACAGGACGTGTGTGTGTGTGTGTGTGTCCCTCTGCTGGAGCCAAAGAAAGCCCTGAGATAGACTCAGAGGCTTCCTGGTTCTATTCTGGGCCAACCTTGACTCACTGGGGCCCTTGGGCAAGCCGCTTCCTGTTGTTCAGGCCAGTTTCCGTGTGGGGAGAGGCCATGCTGCCTCTAAGGTCCAGGAGGGAGAGATTTAAACAGCCTGCAGCCACCAGAGTTTAAAACCCTTGGGGCTCCACATCCTTGGCTATAATCTGTATTTCAGCCAAAGCTGAATGTGACCTCATTCAAAGAGACCATATCAGTTATCAATTTCTTTCCACAAATATTTATCAAAAAGTATTGTTAACTATTTTAATTCAGGAACACTGAATGCCCCTTTACCAACAAAGGTACTAAAAATGGTTTGTGGCCAAGGAACTTCCTTTCCATGGTTAAAAAAAAAAGGAAGTGAGAGCAACAGGGCTGGGGCCTTTCCCATCCGTCCCAGCTGTGGCTTCAGGCCCCACACCCTCGAGGAACCCTACATGGGGTCCTATGGCCTGGGGCTTGGCATGGGACAGGTCCTTCCTTTCCTCAGGCCCCAACCAACCAGCAGCACACGCCATGGAAACACCCCCACACCAAATGGTGCGAGACCTAGGCACCCAGCGGTCTACTCTACCAGCCTCTTCACATCTTGTTTGGTCATTCTTCATTTGAAACAAAGCACCACAAATGCCAAAGTATTATTTGGCAAATGACAAGATCTTACTAGGGTACCTTCCCCATGACTGGCCCAAGCCTCCAGCCCCTGATGGTCTCCGAGTCCAATGTTATTCACCATGACACAGTCCACCAGAGTTACAGGGCTCTGACGTGCCTGCCGAGCCACTTACCAGATTCCCAGAGGAGCTGGCTAGCATAGTTGGGGGCCTCTGCACTTTTATGATTTCTCCATAATCGACAACATCAAAGTTACTCTTCCAAACCATCACCTGCCAAGATCAAGAAGCACACAGAATCAGGGGAGAAAAACCCCTTGCCAGTCCTTCTTCATGGAGAAAATGCGCCCGGAAGCCACCCCCAAAGGTCTGGGCCAGTGGTGGGATAGCAGTCCCCTCCTGATACCCCAGTTCAACTCTGGGACCTGCTCCACCTCCCAAAGAGCAGGGTTTTTAGACAGGCCTCAAGATGACCTGGACGTACCATCAGGATGAAGAATCACTGTGTGCCACCACCAGCCCTTTGCACTTGCTGGTCCCTCTGTCTGGGCTGTCCCAGGCCCAAGCTCGGCGTAGCTGTTTCCTCAGACTGAAGAGTCCCCTTCTATACCACCTTCTCAGAGAGGGCTTCCCTGGCCTCCTATGTACTTTTATCAGAGTCTTCTATTTCTTTCCTTCATAGCATCAGAGTCAGTAGTTTTTTAAATCTCTTTGTCCTTTTTCCTAGTTTATCATATCTGTTTCCCCACTGAAACAGAAGCTCCTGAGGGTGGCAGCCTGGCCTGTTACACTGTGAGAAGTGGTTAAGATACAGACACCAGGTCAGACCACTGGGGTTAAGATCCTGGCTCCACCCCTCAGAGTATGGCTCTAGGCAAGTACACAATCTCTCTGCGGCTCAGGTTCCTTCTCTGTGAAAAGGGCTCTGGTAAGGCTCACAGGAGCCAGCTCTGCACAGACACTGACATTATCTCCTGTCCCACTCAGATCTTCATGTCCTAGGCTCCTCCTAAAGGCTGAAGGAGTGGCCCTGCTGGGGAGCGAGAGCGCTCCCTGCTGGAGGGTGTCAACCTGCGGGGCTGTGCTCTTCCAGGGCCACTTCCAGGAGGGGAGGAATTGTGGAGCATGGCTAGTGGTCAACTGAGACCACAGAAAAACCACCATATCCACCTTAGACAAAAATTCAGCATGCCCTGGACGCTTTCCCCGTCAGGACACAGCCACGAGCCTGGTTCTTTGGGAGGCTCCTTGTCACTCCCAGAGCAGCACCACTAATGACTGCCCCCAACTGGTGGCACCTACGGCTCATTAGTCCTCTTTACAAACAGAACACTGACTCACTTACACCCTTGTTTGTAGGGTCTTTGTGTAACTACAAGTCTAACTGCTGAATAAATTTCTAGGAGTGGCATGGCTATCATGAATGTGAAGAGATGATGTCAAATGTCACTCCAAAAAGGCTGTCAGAGAAGACTTTCTTAAGGGCAGCCAGGGAGGCAGGCCTGATGGCATAGCAGTTAACTTTGTACGCTCCACTTCGGTGGCCCAGGGTTCACCAGTTCCTATCCTGGGCATGGACCTACACACCGCTTATTAAGCCACACTGTGGCAGACGTCCTGCATATAAAGTAGAGGAAGATGGGCACAGAAGTTAGCTCAGGGCCAATCTTCCTCAGCGAAAAGAGGAGGACTAGCATCAGATGTTCACTCAGGGTTAATCTTCCTCAAAAAAAAAAAAGAAAGAAAAAAATCTTAAAAAAAAAAAAAGGAGGCAGCTAGGGAGCTGACAGCAGTGGCTGCCTAAGGAGAGGCTAGAGTGGGCAGAAGCCCCACTTTCTACAGGTTGCCTCTCATACTGTGAGAATTTCTTTTACTGTGACTTTATTTACAATGTGAATTTCCTGTAGTAGTTTCCCTAGTCTTCTAAGCAATGAGCCAGGCCTCCATGCCGAGGGACGGCTCAGGCGTCCCCTTGGCTGTGCTCCTTCCTTGGCCGGTTAGCACAGGAAGTGGCGCTGGTGTGGGGAGATGCCGGCCGCCTCCTCCCCAGACTGTGCTAAAAGAGACTCTAACCACCCTCTGCTTTACTGACAGAGACTCAACCAAAATCGCTCCATTTGGCTGGGGCTGGGGCTGCCTGAGAGGCCAATAGGGCTTTCCTGGGCTGAGCAGTCAGAGCTGTGAGGCTGGCATCAAGAGTCTGAACATTCTTGGGGCTGGCCCCGTGGCCGAGTGGTTAAGTTTGTGTGCTCTGCTGCAGGTGGCCCAGTGTTTCGTTGGTTCGAATCCTGGGTGCGGACATGGCACTACTCATCAAACCATGCTGAGGCAGCATCCCACATGCCACATCTAGAAGGACTCACAAGTAAAATATACAACTATGTACCGGGGGGCTTTGGGGAGAAAAAGGAAAAAAAATAAAATCTCAAAAAAAAAAAAAAAAAAAGAGTCTGAACATTCTGGACAACACTCCAGGTCAACAGCAGCTCAGAGCAGCCACCCTTTCCTCTCTGTCTGAGGGGAGTGCAGCTCTCTGGACAAGCAGTACTGCATGGGGAACCTGGAGAAAGATTTCCGACGGGTGGACTCTTCAATGCCCCTGAAGCTCCAGGTGCCAGGCTCTGGGGCAGAGCCTGGGGGCAAGGTGCCCACCAGGAGACAGGTCATCGGTGCTTAGCAGACTAGGCAGGGTGCGCCAGGCTAACAGGCGGAAAGCCTCAGCACAAACGGTGACAAGGTGGGACAGGACCTCCTCACTCAAGTCCTCTCCCTGAAGCCATGGAATTTGAAAATGACACTTCAAGGAGCATAACAAAGCAGGTCAAGGAGCAAAGGGTGACAAATGTCAAAGCGGAGGCTCTGGGGAAGCCACTAGCTCTGCATCTGCTAAGATGCAGTGTCCCTGTCTACAGAACGAAGTGATGAGAGGGCTGGCCCACAGGGTTGCCATGAGGATTAAAGGAGTTATGAAGCTCTTGCCACGTTGCCCACATTACCAGGCCACAGCAAGGATCCAATAATTGCTACCTAATTACTCATTTATAATCAGGAAAAAGAAGTTACTAAAAAGCTTTGTTTTAACTTTTTCACGGCAATGACTGTACAGACTCCTTCCAATCCATGCTGGTTTGAGCAGTGGGGGTTTTGAGATGCTGCCACAGGGTCAGCTCCTGCAGGAGACTGCGCTAGGGAGGCAAGGGTCTGAGTGCCTCACCCCAAGATCCAGCCTTCAAGGTCGCTGAAAGCCACCAAGGAAGCTGGTGAAACCCAGCCCACCCCTAAGATGCCCTGGCCCCCTCTTCTGTTCTGATCAGTATCAGCGGAGATTCCTCAGACCATGCTTTACTTACTTGTTCATCAGAACCTCCAGAAGCAAAATACTCCCCTGTTCTTGAAAAGGCAACAGTGGTGGCTGGACCCTACGGGAGCAAACAGAAAAGAAGAAACACCAAAGGTCACTCCAGACTCTAAACACACAGGAAGAAAACCAGAAGCTCCTGAATGAGAGCGGCAGCCGGAGGGCAAAGGGCTGGGGGCCTCATTCAGCCCATGCTCCTCCTCAGCCTTTGGCCAAGGAACCTGTGGTACCCAGGTATGAGCACCACTGCTGAGACCTCTGTTCCCAAACACCACTCACAGGTCAAAGGCCAGGCCACATGGGGCCACAGGTGGGCAGAGAGGAATGAACAGGACAGTACCTGCTGGCAGCCCTGCTGGGCTGGCATCACTGTCTCCACTTCCCAAGGAGGAGCCAGAGGTCAGAGAGGTGCACTGACTTATCCCAGCAACGGGGTCAAAACTTGGTCCTCCTGACCCAAGCCATCTCCTCCCCTATATCACCCTGCAACGGACCAGAGAAGTATGGAGCCTCAAGGAGGAGCCAATGAGCAGAGGAAGGGCACAGTCAGGGAGCCCAGGCGACACAAGAGGCCAGAACCAGGGCAAGAAGGAGGCTGGGGAGGGGGTTATGGAAGGTGCCTGGGCAGAGAAGCAACAGGATGTGTCTCTCTAATGTGCATGTCACTTTCTTTATGTTTGGACCTTAGGAGGAGATGTGCCCACTCTGGCTTCCCAGGTGCTGAAGGTCTGCACGACTGTCCAAAGGGTGATGCCAGGCCTGTGCCAGCCAGCACACTGAGGGCCAGTGAGCATGTCCAGGCCTGGGGCAGGGGGGGCATGATCTCCTAGTAAAGAGGGAGGGCTCTTCCCCCACATGCCTGAAATCCACTGCAGAAAGATGCACAGAGCAAGAATCTGTTCAGCACAACACCACAAACCATCTCTTCTTCTGAGCCAAACCTTTAGTGTGGCAGTATTTGACACTTCCCAAGCAAAATCAGATAAAAGAGGCTCTCTACTATATGACAATAGTGTGGCCACTGTCACAAAGGCCACCTCAGTTCCTCCAGACCAACACAAGGAGCAGCAAAAACCCCAACTGCCCATACGAGGTATCTCCGGGGCTGATCTAAGCGGCAGAACCATGGACAAGAAGAACACTGGGAAGCACCTTCCACTAGATGCCAGAAAAGACCAGACAAGTTGTGGGCTGGAAAAGGGACCCGTGGTCGTGGAGCAAGGCCAGCTTCTTCCCGCCCAGAAGAGATAGGCAGGTTGAGAGCTGCCCCCTGGGCCTAAGCACCCTGGAGGGAGGGAACATGTCTGTCCATGCTTCTGGAATCTATCCACAGTTCCTCCTCTCTGAGGTGCCCATACTGGGGGTGATGAAGAAGAAAGTAAGTACAAGGCCAGCTAACGCTGAGCACTCAGGCTGGCTGGGAGCACTTCGCCTGCACTGACCCACTTAGTCCTCACAGAGTAGTTTGTACATTTACCTTTCCTAAGGGTAACATGTCCAAGGGGGAGAACACAGCCTGAGAGACCAGAGACAAAGCCTCCAGTCTGTGCCCCTCAATGCCTTCTCTCGCAGGTGGGGCCCCAAGAGCATGGGAATCACAGGGAGTCCTGCACAGCCATCCAACAGGACAAAGGAGATCCATTCTTACTGACGGGGAACAATGTCCAATTACATCAGTGAGTATGAAATCCCAGGTGCAAGGCACTATGGGCTGCGTGCGCAGTGCCTGAGTGTAGGACCAGGGCAGGTGGGGTGTCACTCAGATCTCTTCCAGGCAGATAGTCATCAAGGGTTAACAAGGTTTATAGGACTTATGGTGGCGGGGGTGGGGGGCGGGTGCAATTTCAGGTACTTTTACTTGATTCTTGGAAATTTTTATAATTTCCCATATTTTGAATTTTTTAACAATGAGTATATGGCATTGCTACATTACTATATAAACAAAATAAAACTATGTTCATTTTGAGGAAAAACAAAGAGGGAAGAGAGAAAAGGGAAGAAAACCAGTACATGGTGTGTCAAAAAAGCCGGGCTCTTTGCCTGCCCAGATCTGGCTCGTTGAGGAATGGCAGGTTTCCAAGAAGTCACAGCAACTAAGGAACCAAACAAATATTTGTGGGTCAGTCTCCTTTCCTGTTGTCACTCAACCACCAGATGCTAAGCTGGGGACAAGATGCTGGAGGCCAAGCAGCCCATGGCTCAGCAGGGGGATCAGAGCCAGACAGTAGGTACTGGGAGCCCTCCTGACAAAAATTGCAAGAGCTTTCCCCAGAGTCCAAGTCCCAGCAAACTCCAGGGATGGCGGGAACAACAAGTACGGTGGGAGGGGAATCTCAAGGGGGTGAGGCCCACAGTCCTCCTAACAGTGCCCGTGTACCAACAGCACTGCTTGGCTCCCGCACCAGGTACCTCAGTCTTCTTGGAAAGGGTGGCCTGCCACAAAGGCTCCTGCCCTTCTATCCAGGGTCCATGCAAGCAGCCCAGGGCACTCAGAGCACAGCCCAAGAATGGCTGGCCCGGGCTCCACTACGGGCCAAAGCCACCATGGACTGGAACCCAGATGGGCTCTCCACTGCTGCCAATCATCGTCCCTAATCCCTCGGTCAGCCTTTGGGGCCCCAGACACCCCAGCCCCACTTCCGCCCTCAGGAGTGCTCCAGCCCCACTAGACTGCTCACACTCCTCAAACACTGAGAATGAGAAGGTCTTCTCCTCCTCCATGTTCTTTCTGTAGCCTCCTGCACTGAGCTCTTCATCCAGTTATTTACAATCTTTCTTGGTTTTAAAGAAATTCATTTAAGGCTACAAATTTGCCTCTGATTACCACCTTAGATAGATCCGAAAAGTTTCCAATATGTAATATTTTCACCGTCATTCACTTGGAAACAGCTAGTTTCCACTGTGATTCTCTTCAGCCCAGCAGTTATTAAGGAGTACATTCTAAAGTTTCCCCACCCTGAGGCCTTGCGGGGAGTCTCTATCGCTGACAGTGATCAGCTGTGATGCATGTTCTTTGAGACTGTTCTGCCTTCGCTCTGGGTTACTCCTTTTACTTAATTAGTCACTCTTAATCCATTTGTTCACTGGCTCAGGGCAGGGATGTTGCCAAATTGTTTCTTCCCACAGGCAATGCCTAGGGCCTCTGCAGTGACTCCCGAGTGTGACTCTGAGCAATAGCTCTTGTCTGGGCCTTCAGTGGTGTGGAGTCCGACCTGCCCTTGGTCAATGGAGATGCCCACCCACCTGAGGCCCTTGTTCAATCTGCCTCCAGGCCAGATCCACTGGCAGGGATGTCCCATGGGCTCAACCAGGTCCTTCCTCCCTCTCTGGATCTGCTCAGAATCTTTTGTGAGATGATCCTGCCTGATCATCAAGAGCACTGGACACAGCCTAGCCTCCCACCCGACTCTCCCTCCTGACCCAGCCACATTTGGCCCTTGAGCTGGGCCGGACCTACACCCAGTCATTTCACCACACGCCGCCTCTCCCCTGCCAACTTCTAGACCCAAGGGACCCATAGTCCCTGGTTTCTTTACTTTCAAAGCGCAAAGCATCAATGAAGAAAGTGAAAAAAAAAAGGCACAACAAAGGAGCCCATGGTGTTTAGATCCCACAGCTCCTGGTGACTCACTCTGCAGCCCCCTGCAGCCTGTCCAACCTCCCCACTCTCCTCACTGCCTCCCCACCTGACTCACTGAGGAGCCTGAACACCTAAACTTTGACCCCTGTGCCCACGACAACTATGCTGGCAAAGGTCCAGCCAGGTACCCCCAACCACCACCACCTCACAAGGGTTTTGAAATGTTTTTTGTGACGGCCAGTGGACAAAAAGGATTGTCACACCATATGCCCCAAGACAGAAGTAAAAGAAGAGTTGCCATCAAACAGAGACACAGAGGCCACAGAGGCCCGAGAGGCCTCTGGTGTGGGTGGCGGTCTTGGACCACCAGCTCATGTAGGGTGACTGCAACCTAGCCTTCCGTGCTGCTTCCTCCACAAACCCCAGCAAGAAGACACCCGCCCTCGCCCACCAGCATCTGCCATAGGCTGGCTCTTGTGTTCGAGTGGTGGTCCCATGGACAAGGAGCAGCATCTGGGGAGGAACTGCTGCTCATGAACACCATACTCTCTCTTGACCTCGGCCGAGGACACCCGCTCCCAGTCTTCAACCCTGGGCTGCTGGCAGGAGACAGAGGGCCAGGCTGACTTCTTGGTTACTTAGGGTGGAATAAATAAGCTGGCCTCCCTCTTGATGTCCCCTCACTTCTCCCAGAAGGTGCCCAACCATCCAAGCCAGGTATGAGCCTCCCAACCATGGAAGTAATTCTCCAAAATGAAATGACTACACAAGAGTTGCAGAGTGCTGGAAGACAGAGAGGAGAGGTACATTCGGAGAGCTTCCTTCCACCTGGAGCAGCACGAGGGGCAGCTTGTGCCCCAGGCCACTCTGTCACACTGCTGCCTCTTCTCAAGAGTGAGTCCCCCTTGTTGCCACTTCCCAGCCTAGGCTCTGGAATGGCACAAGCTCCCAGTAACATTGGGGGATCCTATACTCTGAGTCCGTGATTTCACAACAACCAAGCCTCTGAGCAAAGCCCCTCACCCAGCCCTGGTTCAGGGCTCTGGGCCCTTGGCCATGGCTGCTTACTGGCACCACGGGCTGGTTGGGGCATATGAAACCATGAGCCCATCAGTCCCCATGCAATTCAGTCACTCCACAGCGACACGAACACCAACTGCACAGCCACAAACACCAGATTTAACTCCCCACCCACGTCCCGCCCACCATCTTCTCCCAAATAGCTCTGGGGACTTAAACCAAATGAGCATGGCTCAAGATTATGTTTCAGAAAATACAGAAAAATAAATCTGTATTTCTAGCACATTGCCCCCACAGTTGCCACACAGAGCTACGAGGGCCTCACTCGGGGTACAAGGCTTCAAGTAATAGCTGTAGTTGGTGGGAAAGCCCTTCCCTCTCCTGCCAGTTTTCCCTGCCACAAAGGGACGGGCGAGATGGGACGAGGAGGCTCCTGTGCAGCCCTGACACTGCTAAGTCTC